TGACACATGTGGAAATACTTCTGCAAGCACCATTGTTCTTTACCTAGAACACAATTACAAACGTTACTTTTCCTTGAACTTATGAAATTTGTTAACTATCATATAAACCTAGAGATTAAAGGAACATTAAAATACACCCTTGGATTTGAAATGTTAGAGCTACGTATCGAAGTCTAGAATTCATAGGAGAAACAATTTGTAAGATTGAAGGATCTAACAATTCCATTTAGAGAAAGAAATATCTGGAAGGTGAGAACAAATCCTCTCAACATACAATAGTGATGTAGTTCTGAAGGAAAATGCTGATGACACAGAGGTACAAAGAATGATAAAATGTTAGATAGAATTATAGACTAATGACCAACAAGGTAGACAGTATCTCTAAATGATTCTCTCCATCAGAACAGGAAAGGTAGAACATATGATAGGATACTGGGAAGGACATAATCCATTGCTCTGCTTTTCAAGATTTTTTTTAAGCCAAATTTTTAAATTTAGAGTTAATTCTTGGAAAACACATTCCTACACGTTTGGTAGATTATTTTTCCTTTTTTTTCCAGAAAATTTCATGCATATTTACGTTGTAACCAACTCTAGGCAGAGAATGCAGTAATTTTCACTAATTCTTTGTAACAAGTTTATTGATTTCAATGCAGTGAGAAGACAACTTTCATAGGCCTTAGAAAACTATTTGTATAAGTGTTTTCATTCACTATAATGCTGCACATTAAAGCTTGATGTGGATGACCCTGCTGTTGCCTGAATTTTGATGTTAATTCTGCTTTTCCAGGTGGGGCTGTCTAGACCAAGGAATGAGTCACACACTCCAGTAACATCTTGTGAACTTTCCCCAGAATGAATTAAGGGATCAATCACTGGACAAGTAGGAATGATTTCCGGGTTGGACAGAGGCAAATAGGAAGCAGGATAAAGTTAGGGCCTTTTGGACAGGGATAGCTTGAGGACAAGGTATAGCTATTGTATCTCCTAGTTGCCATGGCAGAACTGCCAGAATTCATCACCAGAGGATTTAGATTTAATATGGAATATAGTTTACAAGATTAGAATTGTATTTGTTTTGGCCAGCGAATGAGTTACAATTGTTTCTGAACTAAGTGTTTGTTGTGCTTTCCTTTATGGAGCAGCTCTTCTAGGCTCCAGAAAGAAACATGTGGAAGCAAAGCATGGGTTTGTCTGTTGTGCACCACGAAAGGCTGTGGGAGTTTTGAAGCATGGGGCTAGCTAGCATGGTAGCAACCCGTGATTGGGAACCTAGCAAGCTAGGCGGAAGGATTTTGAAGCTCCAAGTCCTCTGTCTCTGTCTCTGTCGCTGACTCTGTCTCTGTTTCTCTCTGTCTCTGTTTCTCTCTGTCTCTCTGTCTCTGTCTCTGTCTCTCTGTCTCTCTGTCTGTCTCTGTATCTGTCTCTCTCTCTCCCTCTCCCTCTCTCTCTTTCTCTGTATCTCTTTGTGTGTGTCTGTGTGTCTGTGTATGTTTATATGTCTGTCTCTACCTCTCCCTCTTCTATCCTACTCCTACTATTTTCTTCTAGTTCCCATCCCCTCTTGCACCCAGGCTAACCTCTGAATCCATGTATGGTTGTTAGGTTTGTGTTTTTGTGAGATACCTAACAGTGGGAACAAGTATATTTCTGACTCTGACTATACTTGAGACTCTTTTTCTCCTATTGGGTTACCTACTCCGGGTTTCAAATGAAGGTCCTCCTTTTATTTTTTATCATATTTAGTCCTGTTTAGTTGTTGTTTCTTGAAGGCCTGTTCTTTTCTGAAGATCCAATTGAGGAGGCATATAAAGAGAAGGTGAGAGTGAAAGTTAGAATGAGTGGTAAAAGGGGAAACTGTGATTTTGATGCATTGTATGGGAGGAGAATCTAGTTTCAATTTCAAAAAGGAAAAAGCAGATTACCTACACAAAGTTGTAACATATCCAACAAGAATAACTCCTTTAGGAAAAGTATTGCATATCATTGTCTTAATATTAAGATAAGAAAATAAAATGGTTTCAAAGACTCCAGCTTAATTTTGGAGTATATGTCTGTTACCTTTTTACTGCTTCATCAAACTATATATTAAATGAACCTTATTGGTAACTAATTGGAGATAAAGTAATTAGTTTTGCATAACATATGCTGTTTATCTTCCCTTCTAGACGGGAGAAAGAGGGCTACTATTACTCAGAAAGTTCATGAAATTTAAAAAAAAAATCCTCCCCTAAGCACAAAAGACTGATATATATCAGAAAGAGAGAAGAGAGAGATAGAGATAGAGATAGAGATAGAGATAGAGACAGACAGACAGAGAGAGAGAGAGAGAGAGAGAGAGAGAGAGAGAGAGAGAGAGAGAAGATTCCTCAGTTGAGATCTGGCTATGTGGGTTGCACAAAATGCCAGTTATACAGCCTTCATGAATAGTCACCCATAGATGGTGACTCTTAAGAGGTGCAGTTTTTCCAACCATCTATACTTTTAATGTCGATCTCAGTAAATTCATTACACTGTATACTATCCTTGGGTTAGTTTCACTTGTCTTGTGTCTATGCATTATTGGAGGTAACTATTCATTTGAGTAGTCCAGCATGTTGCACTGTTGTTATCCATCAACCAAGAGAATCTCTTTAGCAGAAGCATGAGTATGATATGTAATATGGGGAGATATATTGGATTGCTTTGCAGGTTTTGAAAGCAGAAAAGACCTTTTATATCCCTAGTGTGATTGACTTAAAGATCTATTGCTCAACATTCGTAACTATAAAAGATTGGCCATGGAGCCTTGACCCTGATTTATTTCATTAGAAGTTAGAAGATTAATCATGTAAACACTTGTATGAGTATCCAAAGCAAAATCAGAATTTATTAAGAATTATTACATATGAGGAAGAAATTATAAAATGTAAACAAACAAACAACAACAACCAAAAAACCTGAGAGTAGTAGGTTATTTTCCATATAGAGAAAATCTATTTCTTTATTTGAGATTTAATAGGACTGTGGTAGAGTATGAATGAAAGAAGTCTTGAAGTAATTGCTATGAAATTGATCAGTTGTCTGGATTTTCATGTTACAAACTAAACTGCAGGTCATATACATTATATGTGTATAGTACTGACTGAACTAGAGAGACTATGAAGTACTATTTGTGCTCACTTCACCCAGGCAGGTATGGTTGAAGTCCCACTCTGTGCTTCTCACTGACTTTCAATTTGGGAGTTTTGATTTTAATTGATTTTATTTGATGAGAATTATTACCCTCTGAATTTTCAGGTATTAGTTATGCTAATAAGTAGGCAACATTATTTTTGTTGTCATGTTTACATGATCAACCATGGTAAATAGTTAAATCTTCTTAACCTTTAAATTAGAGTTGCCTTCTTTCTTGGTTACTTCATATTTGGTATGTTGTTTATGGATTGTCTGGGATGATACTGTAGGTGGAAGGTTCCTGTTAGAAGACATCATTATTGGTAATTTAGTCTTTTTCATTTAGTTGCATTAGGACTAGTTGAAAAAAATAATAATATAAGGAAAGATAATAGTGTCATTTACAGTCTCTAGGTTTTTGAGAGCCAGTTGGCCTGGTTTTACTGGCATGCACCCATTTCCCTTTTTACCTGTCTAGCATTGTTATTTCATACCCAACTACATGTTCATTTATTTATATTCTTCACTGCCTCATATTCTGATATTTTAATACTTAATCTTCCTGTTAACTTCACTGCAACATTTATGAGGAACCTAAAATTTTCACCATCAGCATGGTAGTATTGTTGTTGCCAATAGGGAGCTAGAATCTATATCAAGAAAATTTAAATTATCGAAAAAATATTATGAAAGTGGTATAACATGTGCTATAGGTATTAAATGTTGATAAATAGACCATACTTTACACTTAAGATAATGACACTCTTAAAAGTAGAAAGTTTAGCCAGTTTTTCTACATATAATCTTATCATTTTAAATAGTATTTGTCAGTGAAGTCTTACAGTGACAGATACTTTTTTTATGCAGATACAAAGAAGACCAAAATAGTAAGGGTGACATATTCGTCAAAATTTTATATTAACTGATATATATTTATCACTTCTCATTATTGTTAAATGGTTTTATGCATAAAAATTTATATGTATGAATAACTTTTCCATTGCTGAAGTTTATGAAGTTTTCCTGTCAGTCTGGAAAGATAATTGAGATAAAAGTAAGAGAGAGGAAGTAGGGATTAATAAAGACAATAGTGCAGTGAGTATTCAAACTATTCTATTCAAAAACAAAGGAAAAAAGCTACAAAGAAAGTAAAAACTTTAAATCTAATCATTAATCTGGAACTAGCATCAGTTTCAAACTTTTGACAAGGTTAAATAGACAAATATAAATTTGGATGCAAATACTCAGAATTATAATACTTATGTCAACTTACTCCAAATATACATAAAAAATCTAGATTTGACACACTTAATATTTAAGAATAACAGTTTTACCAAAGAAAAAATTCAGTACTACAAAATAATTTATAAAATACTATATTATTTTCTAGTCTCCATCTGCTTTATAATTTACATAAAAGTACTCTCATATGTATAAAAACAGACAGAAATAATGTGAAGTTAAATTTCTTCTGTGAAATATCCATAACTTAGTAAAGATGCACAGTATTTTTCTCTCATAGATCCTACATGTCCTCAGGAGTTATGCACCTAAAATAAATAAATCAAGGAAATTAACTGAGAACAGTGCAAACAATTCAGATCATAGTTAATTTCAAGAATATTCAGATGTTTTAGATTCCAATACAATGCAGATAGAAAAGGGAAACTGGACAAATTAAAAATAATACTAAACCAAAATATGAAAGTAACAAAAGCTTCATCTCCAAATATTTCCAAATTGAGATAAAGATTCAAAAATTAATAATAATTATTAAATAATTTTGGTGGCAATATTATGATGGTTTTGAAATAATAGTATTAAAATGTCTGTTTTTGGCCGCCTCCTTCTTCTGCCGCTCCTGGTGCTGCTTGTGTGCTCCTTCAGTGCGGACCTGGTGCCTCTTTTGTGAAGCGGCAGCTGAGGAGACTCCGGCGCTCGCCATGGCTGACGAGAAACCCAAGGAAGGAGTCAAGACTGAGAACAACGATCATATTAACTTGAAGGTGGCGGGACAGGATGGTTCTGTGGTGCAGTTTAAGATTAAGAGGCACACACCACTTAGTAAACTCATGAAAGCGTACTGTGAGCGGCAGGGTTTGTCAATGAGGCAGATCAGATTCCGGTTTGATGGGCAGCCAATCAACGAAACAGACACACCTGCACAGTTGGAAATGGAGGATGAAGACACGATTGATGTGTTCCAGCAGCAGACAGGAGGTGTCTACTGAAAAGGGAACCTGCTGCTTTACTCCAGAATTTTGTTATAGACCAAGAATACATTCTCAATTAGAAAACCGCAATTTGGTCCCGCCACATCCTGACTACTGCAGTATAGTTTTCTCTCTTCCTTCATTTCCCTGTCCCCATTTCTTTATTGTACATAAAGTAACTGGTGTATGTGCACAAGCATATTGCTCTTTTTTTTCTTTTCCTTTTTTAAACTAAATGGCCAATGTTCTGTTTTGGTTGACATCGGATGGAGAAGATCTGGGGGAAAGTCCTGGGTCTGTGAAAATCTCCCCCTTCTCCATTAGTGGCATGCTCATTCAGCTCTGCTCTTTATATTTCAGTAAGTTATTTTGCTCTCACTGTTTTAACAAAAGAACCCAACCACACAAAATCCTTGCATACCTTGTTCGATTGGAGAATTTTAATGTTTTTCATTTATCATTGTAAAACCAAGGACAATTTTATAACTTTTTTGTACGTAGCTGTTACATGTAGGGCAATCTGTCTTTAAGTAGGGATAAATTACTCTGAACAAAATGATCCTAGATAGTTTCCCCTTCCAGTCAAGTGTCTTGTTGTTTAAATAAACTTCTTGTTTAAAAAAAAAATGTCTGTTTTTTCATTCATCCCACTTTTGCTGTTATAAAAAATAATAAATATCAAGAAGAGAGCTCTCTAAAACTCATGTGCTATATATTTCTAATATAGAATGTCTCAGACAATTGATAAATAGTAGTAACATGATATTTGAATGTTGGATTAAGAAAATATTCAATATCAGTATCAAAAGTATACTTTTATTAATTGTATTTATAACATACTCTATGGGTTTGCATTTCTCTTTGCCTCTTGTGTATGTGAATGATGCACTGAGAAATTCAAGTTAAGTGTGCTGGACTATGTTCCTTCCTTGCCTCCATCATGGTGCTGGGCTCATGGCACACAGACACCCACTCAGGGGAGGCAGAACAGAGCCTAAGATGGGACCCCAGTCCATGTTTCTCTTGATGAGAAATGGCACAGTGATGGGTCAAGACTGTGGTTCTTGGAATCTGGATTAGCTCTGGGTGGGTGTCAGAAGTGCAGGGGACCCTTCTGCAAAAAACTTAGGCAATGCACTTTGGTAAGGAATGCCTCCCCCAAAGGAGGTTTTGGATGAGAGACCATAGTCCTTGATTGCCAAAACTGTTTATTTATGGTGAAAAGGGTACATATGACATATCTTTTGCAGGAAGGAATGTCCAGAAAGGGAAGCTTATTGGTGAAACCTCGGGGCCAGCCCATCTAGATACCACATTAGGATGGAGAACTCTGGGCTCTGTCATATGTGACTAATTGTTGTGGTCCCCTTAATGGAGTCTAGTGGTCACCTGCTCCAGGACAGGAGAGGAATCAGATCTGGAGCAGATTCAAATGCCTACCATTCTCAATTATGAGACGTGCCAGGGTTCTTTAATCTGCTTGACCTTACCAGTTTTTGGTTCAACTTGCCCCACAACTCCTTTTTTTTTTTTTTTTTTTCGAGGAGGTGTCATTGGAGTGACTGTATCTTGTTACTTGTAGTTAAAATTTTGGTTGGAGTAGGAAGTTAGCACTAAAAACAAAACATAAGCCAGAGGGATAGTGAGGGGTAGAGTCTATGATGACAAGGGATTGTTGTAGCAATTAATTGATCATTGGATTGAAATTTAGAGTAAGTTTGTACAGAGTTTGTGAAGACATTAACGTTGGTCTTAAACAATATTTGATTTATCTATATTGACAGAACATTTTCCTTATGATAAGGTAAGTTTCTCAAGCTTGGTAGCCATTAGGCTCCGGCAAGGGAGTTCATCTGTCACTGGAAGGGCCCCAGGATGGGGACCTTCTCAGTGACTGCTTGTCTCAAAAGTCTTCAGTCAGATGATGTGTCTGGACAAAAGCAGCTCACAGCCTGAGGCAGGTCCAAGGAGATGGAGGGTCAGTCTCCAGCTGACCTGTCGTGACAGCACTGTCTTTTCCCTTTTTGCAGAGATAAATCTATACAATAATTATAACAGTGAAGCAGAGCCCTAGTAGGGTGTGTCTGCACGGGGGGAGTGTTGTGTATGATAAGTCTGTAACAGTTTGATTGGCCACCCACTGTTGGTCTGTTGCTATGGTCCGAGAAATAAAAAGAGTCCCTAAGGAATTTTAGTCCTGGAAGGAATCATTAAGTATGGAGTTTCCTGTCTTGTATTAAGGAAAGCAGAGAGAAGAGTTGAGAACTTACCTGTTTTAGAGAACTGAGGAAAAAGATATCATATTAATTATGTATCTGGGATAGGTAGTAATAGCTTGTCTGTAAAAAGAAAGAGATAGTATTATTTTATTAATTAAGTATTCAGTAATGGTTATTAATGTAGTTGTTTTGATCTGTGGGGGTAGGTTAAATATGATTTTTGAAGCTTAGGAGAAATTTTAAGCAAATTAAAAGTTAACAATTTTGAGTTAAAAATCATAAACATTGATTCAGGTGTTCTTGTTATGGAGAACAATAAACATTTAAACAAGAAAGCATGGAAATTTTGGGGTTAAGGGTTTCAGGTGTGATATTTTTGAATTTTCAGCAATAAGATCTCATCCGGTATGTTTTGTTTGGTGTGCTCTTTTAATCTTCAAGAAGTGTGAGGAGCTTGCTTTGCTGCGCTGAGGTTGCCGGCCATTGGCAGGTCCTTCCTGCCTCCCTCCCCAGCTGCTCAAGAGTGTGTTTAATTTTCCCTGGTATTGCTAGAAGGCAAATGTGTGCTTTTTTGGTTTTTTTTGTTGTTGTTGTTTTTCGTTTTGTTTTGTTTCAGTTTTTTATTTTGTTTGTATGGGGTTTTTTTGTAAACATTAAAAGCAGAGTGTAAAGAAAAGAAACATTGGGGCTTGTTGGCACCTTATTTTCAGGGTCAGGGTGGTAGCTGGGGTCGGAGTCTTGTTCGTGGTCAAATGAACTATTTGGATTTAGACAGGGGTTAGTGTATTAACTCCACCTGAAAACAAAAGTGGGTAAAAGACAGAGTGTCTGTCTTCAGAGTGGGAAGGTCTTGGTCTTTTGGGCTAGTGCCAAAAGCATGTGAGTCATGGGCCAGGGGATACTCGACTTCTTTGTTTAATCTGGAGTTCCGAAAGGGTAGAAGGTCCACATTGGGGTGCCAGTTGTGGGTCTGTGTTCCTTAATCTGATCGACATTTTTGGCTTATGACACAGTTCAACTTGCCCCACAATACTGAAGAGATTACATCTATAGAATGAATTGTAATACACAATACAATCAGATTATACCTTCTTGATCTCTGTCATTTACAGAGGTCATCTTTCTAAGCTATAGAAAGTAGTTGATAATGATTGAGATAATGCAGGCCAAAGAACACAAAAGACATACATCCAACGTTTCTCTCAAGTTTCAACTTTGGCATCAATATTTTTGTGATAGATATATGTATAAAATGTAATTAACATTAAATCTTAACATCCTAAGAAAATCCCCAGCTTCAGAAGAACTACTCTAGGTTCATAGAAGTTCATTAAGATATATAGAGTTCAGGGCTAGACAAATATGTTTAAGAAAGTAGCTATTTCATTTTCTAACTTCACTTAGCTGTGTGGTATTTTTATTAGTGATTTCACTACAATACAGTGATCTTATATAAAAATTTCATAAGATATCAATATCAATTATGGCATTTTTTCCAAGAGATAATATGTATATTTTTATACAACTTAAAAAATTATTCTATTGTAAAACATGAAATTTTGCTAGCAAATATACATAATAAAATAATCACAACATATAACCAAATTTTATATATCATCAATTCTCATTGTTACTTCATGCATAATCAGGAAGTTTAGTAGGGTAATAGTAACAATAGCCTATTTGTTTATAACTTATTAATTTATTCCTTCATATATTACATCCTGCCCATAGTTCCCAGCCCTTCTCTCTTTCCAGTTCCTCCCCCATAAAGAAACCAGCTTTATATAACAAGTAGTAAACCAAGTCAGTCAGAATACTGTGGCACAGGCTGTTGGGGTCAGTGCTATAAGCTACAGATGGTGGCCACAACAAAGAGGGATGGAATTGGTCCAGATAGAGACTAACAGGATCTGCTACCTATGTGAGCCAGTTACTTTAAAAATTATTCAGCACACTTTTCTTTGAGGGAACAAAGTTTGATTCACTGGGGTTGGCCCTCCCTATGGCCAGAAAAACAAAAAACAAAGACAAACCCACCTCTGAACATGTTTCACTCTTAGGGGCCAGTAAGAAAGAAGAGAAAGAAGAAAATTCATACACACACACACACACACACACACACACATACTCATTGAGTAAATGATACAAAAGCTAGTCTCCAATAACTTCATACATACAAATACACACATACATACATGCATACATACATACACACACACATACACATGCATACAGACCTATAGACAGAAATAGAGATATAAACACATTAACACATTGAATGAATGGAGCAAAGCACCAACAAGCAGGCTCCAAGCATTTCATATATACACATACCCACATATACATATGTATATATATATGTGCATATACATACATAGATGTATACATATATACACATATACACATTTCACATCTATGTACTTATACACATATATACACACATACCTGTTGGGTGGATGTAACAAAATTGCAACAACAACAATGATAACAAAAATCACAGTTGGAAGATAGAATAAGGTCCAACACATTGTTCTTGTTTCCTGACCTGAAAAAGTCCCCAGCTTAACTATTAATAGTGTGCCGTTCTGAACTTCAAATTGTTCCCTAAGATTTTTTTACATTTGAACCAATAACAAAACAGCTATCTTCATTAACAGTTTATTTTTACAAATGTTTTTTAAGGACCGTGTTCAATGCTGACAATCTACATCTCTAAATTCTTTCCTAAGACGGTGATTGAATCACTAATCTGCTCTAACTGCAATACTTGAAAGAGATCAACCATTACAATTACTTCACAATGAGGGTCTGGAAGCCCACTTAGAGATTTTACACATCACTTAAATTAAGAGTGTTGTGAAGGCAACAAGCAGAGCAAAACTCCATAACAGCATGAAGTCCTTAGGACATATATTCCTTAGGCCATGCCTCTCCGAGACAAGTCCATCATGCCTGTGCTAACTCCTGGGCCACGTTA